TTTGGATATAATGACTGCTTAAATAGAATGTAAGGATGTTGCATTTCTCAATTCCAAAGCACCTAATACGATATGTTTTAAAGAAGATAAGGATTTGGAAGGAGAATCAAGGCATTTTTTCTTTATAAAGCCCACAATTACAAGTCACAAATTTGCCTCAAGGGATTTGAAATCTGTACAGCATATGGCATCCTCTATCCTAAGTTGTTTGGTAACAAAAAATAAAACTTCCAACCAAAAAAAACGTTTTAATGTTCACACAAAATGAAAGGAACTTTAGTAGGAGCGACATACTATAATAGGGATGTATAGATGTCTTTACATGGTAAACAAAAAACCTTGTTTCCATGTGTCTTAAAAGCAGGATACAAAAAAATATATTGTAATCAACCAAGTATATACAGGAATTTGGTGTCTTGAATATAGTAAATAAAGGCAAAATAATTGGAACTTTACCAGACAAGGATGCCCCCCCTAGAGAATTGAGTTGGATGTTTGGTATTTACAAGAAACCGCACAACATTTTACAGTATTAAACAGCGGACACACACACACACACACACACACACACACACACACACACACACACACACATCCTCTCACAAGAAGATACATTTGATTATTTTAGCCTGGAGATTATTATGGTCTGTATCCTCAATAACTCTTACTTCCTGTTCCCACGGTACCGATCCCACTATAACCCTCGGCCAGTAGCCAAGACCCCCTCGGTTTCTCCCACGACTACTTCTTGCATTTAGACCCAGATGATTGAAAAACATTTCTTAATTTAGACACCATTGGAGCCCTGAACCGTCTGTTTAAACTGTCTTTTATAGCATCATCTGCAATGCAATGTTTCATACAGGAATATTGTAATTGCTCAAGTTCCCACCCAGGCCTCGAATGCTGTCAGTTAAAGATGCATGACTCTTTTCAGAAGGAGTTGTTAACCACAGGGTACAGCAAGTGACAGGAAAGGCTTGCAATGTTCTTGGTGTGGTTGGTTGATGTTCATTTTAGATCTTCAGATGAGATTCTGGCATTTTGATTTGTTTTTCCTTTAGTGTAAATGAACCGAAGATCTGTTTTTCCAACTTTGCATAACCAGTAGGCAAGTACAGTAGAAAGAAGTTATTTAAAGAAGCCTAAAAATGGGTTTAACATCTTCTAAAAACATCTTCTCAAAGCAGTCTTTGTGTATGCAAGGACTTAAAATGACTCAGTTATGGGAGGGACACGTTTCTTTTCCTATAAGCGTCACCTACATTTTCCTACATGGGCAAAGAGTCTGTTCTTGAATGCCCATGATTTAGACTGGCTTATTTTTCCAATAATAAACTATATCAGTGAGGAATGTGAGGCTGTTTCCTTTGGACCCTCACTGCTCTACTTAAGAAGCCGAGGGGTCGAACAGTGGGGGATTATAGGGTGAATCATGAATGGGTCTTTCTTAACCATGGATGTAACTGCTCTAAACATGTGAGCAAGGATGCTGCATGCCTGTGTCAATGTTCATGCTCGCCCTCTGTGATGCGGGCCTAGACAGAGTCTGGACTGTAGCGATGACTCTTAAAGGAAAATAAATATTCTGAACTGACTTTCACATACAGTACATCGTCATTAACATTCCAAAATAGAAAGCACACACAATATCAAAAAAATAACAATTCAGATAAAATTGCACCTCTATTATCCAATAAGATTTTGTGAAGTCATAGTCAAATGTTGTGGGAGTAAGGCACAGTGGGAAAAGATAAGTACAGTGGGGAAAAAAAGTATTTAGTCAGCCACCAATTGTGCAAGTTCTCCCACTTAAAAAGATGAGAGAGGCCTGTAATTTTCATCTTAGGTATACCTCAACTATGAGAGAAAAAATGAGAAAAAAAATCTAGAAACTCACATTGTCTGATTTTTTTAAAGAATTTATTTGCAAATTATGGTGGAAAATAAGTATTTGGTCACCTACAAACAAACAAGATTTCTGGCTCTCACAGACCTGTAACTTCTTCTTTAAGAGCCTCCTCTGTCCTCCACTTGTTAACTGTATTAATGGCACCTGTTTGAACTTGTTATCAGTATAAAAGACACCTGTCCACAACCTCAAACAGTCACACTCCAAACTCCACTATGGCCAAGACCAAAGAGCTGTCAAAGGACACCAGAAACAAAATTGTAGACCTGCACCAGGCTGGGAAGGCTGAATCTGCAATAGGTAAGCAGCTTGGTGTGAAGAAATCAACTGTGGGAGCAATTATTAGAAAATGGAAGACATACAAGACCACTGATAATCTCCCTCGATCTGGGGCTCCACGCAAGATCTCACCCCGTGGGGTCAAAATGATCACAAGAACGGTGAGCAAAAATCCCAGAACCACACGGGGGGACCTAGTCAATGACCTGCAGAGAGCTGGGACCAAAGTAACAAAGGCTACCATCAGTAACACACTACGCCGCCAGGGACTCAAATCCTGCAGTGCCAGACGTGTCCCCCTGCTTAAGCCAGTACATGTCCAGGCCCGTCTGAAGTTTGCTAGAGAGCATTTAGATGATCCAGAGGAGGATTGGGAGAATGTCATATGGTCAGATGAAACCAAAATAGAACTTTTTGGTAAAAACTCAACTAGACGTGTTTGGAGGAGAAAGAATGCTGTGTTGCATCCAAAGAACACCATACCTACTGTGAAACATGGGGGTGGAAACATCATGCTTTGGGGCTGCTTTTCTGCAAAGGGACCAGGACGACTGATCCGTGTAAAGGAAAGAATGAATGGGGCCATGTATCGTGAGATTTTGAGTGACAACGTCCTTCCATCAGCAAGTGCATTGAAGATGAAACGTGGCTGGGTCTTTCAGCATGACAATGATCCCAAACACACCGCCCGGGCAACGAAGGAGTGGCTTCGTAAGAAGCATTTCAAGGTCCTGGAGTGGCCTAGCCATTCTCCAGATCTCAACCCCATAGAAAGTCTTTGGAGGGAGTTGAAAGTCTGTGTTGCCCAGCGACAGCCCCAAAACATCACTGCTCTAGAGGAGATCTGCATGGAGGAATGGGCCAAAATACCAGCAACAGTGTGTGAAAACCTTGTGAAGACTTACAGAAAACATAATTTGCAAATAAAGTCTTTAAAAATCAGACAATGTGATTTTCTGGATTTTCTTTTCTCATTTTGTCTCTCATAGTTGAGGTATACCTAAGATGAAAACTACAGGCCTCTCATCTTTTTAAGTGGGAGAACTTGCACAATTGGTGGCTGACTAAATACTTGTTTGCCCCACTGTATACTATAAAACCAAATAACCCCCTTTGTTATCATTTTCTTTGTATAACTTTAACGTAATGTCAACGTCAAATATCCATAAAATCATAACTGAAGGGTTTGCAATCTTTGCATGTTTGCATTCCCTCAAAGCCCTGCTCTGCCTCACATGGCAGTATAGAATGAAGACATTTTTCAAGCTACATTTTGTCTTAATGTTCCAATTGTAATGCTTCAGTTACTCTTGCAGCTCACGCACAACTGCAGCTAGGGACATTGCTGATGGGCATTTAGTCTAACACATGTTGTTGATTGAACATGTGTTTGCAGTGTCACTGAAGGATTAGATAGTGACGTAGAGCAGTTGCCCTGTGGCTGCGCACAGTGATTGTAAGTGCGTAGAGCCTAGCATTTTAGATTACAGGCCTGTGTTGGATGTCCACAGGAGGTAATGAGTGGATAGACTGAGTCATGCTCTGTGTCGGCCTCTGCACTTCAATCACCAGCCATATCCACATAGAAGCTACTGTGACCAAAGAGATCTGCACTTCGTTACACTGCACTCGGCGTAACCACAGAGCGCATCATGTGACGCGCTACAGAGGAGGCTTGTTGAACTTGGATCCTTCTCCTTGAGTACGACCATCTGTGTCCCTTGAGAGCCAACATTGAGGACAAGAGTACATTTTCCCAGCTAGGCCCCTAAGAAAAGACTCATCCAGAGCCTCAACTCACATCTGGACGACCCAGAGGTTAGAGGCCAGGGTTGCAGGGATAGTGGAAGGGGGCTTCATTTCAGTTATCTTGTGCTCGTATTGTCCCTGTTGCTTTGCCGCATTCCTCTTTTTGTGCAACTGACCCTAGGGAAAAAATAGTCTTCATACATTTGGTCTTAGCTTGAGTTTGTAAACATTAGGTGACAATATGGAAATCTAGAGTTAGGGTTTTCAACTGGTTAACGGGCTCTGCAAAAGGAAGTCTGTGAAATGTTAAATTGTCTTACAACCCTGCTTCAATCTAACTACAAAAACAAAATTAGCCGATTACGTTTGTCTTGAATTATATTAGTCATTTTGTGTAAATATCCTTGGCTTTGCCTTTTATCTCGCAAGGCTCAACAAAAATGACTACATGAGGAAACACAATTCTGACATTTGGGTCCCTTAATGTTTTTTGGTTTCTAATAAAACAAAGGTATCATATAGGACCTTTTGAGAAACACATTTCTAAAAAGGGATTCAGAATATATTGTAACAGAATATTTATAAAATGCTTTCTCAAAGCATATCTGTAAAGATAACTTATTTTTTAACTTTTTATTAGCACCAGTGTATTTTGTTACAAGTGTTACAAGATGACCAAAATTAATAAATTAGGCATGCCTCAAAAATAACTGCCAAACATTAGAGCAATCTCTCTTGGCCCGCAGCCAGAGGTCTTGCGAGGCAGCCTGTCTGTTACTAATCCAAACCAACTGTTGCTAGCCTTGCACAGCTTAATGAAATAGCATGCTGAGGGCAATGCAAGAAAAGTCCACTGAGTAGAGCAAAGGGACAAGTTGTGAGCGACTAAGCAGAGTGGTTCTAAAATAGTGAAGCGCGAGAGTACATTAGAGGCGGCCGAAGTGAATAAATGCGCATAGTGTGCTGGGGGAGTTGTGAGACGGGGGATGGGGCTCCAAGGATGTGAGTCAGATTCCCTGTCAAACCAGCGGGGAGGGGACCTGATGAGAAAGGGATAGAACCAAGGAGAGCAGGGGTGGAGTGGGGGAAAGAAAACCCGGCCCCTCTTACACTAGCCGACTCTTCGGCATTCAGCGTCAGCAAAAACCCTAATGTGATCAAGATGGAAGTTGTCTTTGGACTTTTCACTGCTCCCCGGCTTTCTGCCTGCATTTGGGGGCTTTACTGCTTTTCCGACAGTTTTACAGCCAAGATTCTGACTGGAGTCCAGAAAACGTCTTGCATAAACTTAGACTAAGGACGACTTACAAAATAATACGGATGTCGAGTCACTTGGAAAGCGATGGATTCATATTTCCCAAATAAAACCTTGCTCGCTTTCAACGGATGAATGAAAAGCCAACTTGCGACACATCTCTGGATAACTTTACTGGAAGCAAATAGTGGATCTATAATCTATTTGCTGGATTATCACCTGTTTTTAATTTCTCAATACAAAGCTACTGGATTATATTTTACAACACTGAGTCATTTACAAGGGGTAAATACCTTCGCTCGAGAATTAAATGTTTGAAATGTATTGAAGTGTCAGTTTGGCAGTTCGACAGCAAGCTGAAGGAGAAACAGCTTTGGGACATTTGATGTAATCTTTCTTATTTACCTAATAACCCGGAGCAGGTTCATGACAGATGTTGCAGATGGGAGTTGGTATTATCCAACTCTTTTCCTGAGGAAACAAAAGGTGAAAACATTACTTTTACAGCTAAAGAAAGTTTTAGACATGTTACATTTTTTTGGAATAATGATAAATAATGTATATTAAAACTAGATTAGATATATATATTCATAATCTCTTCCTGTACAATACTCTTTATTCTTATTTTTCTTTGATGATGTTATGAATGAACATTTTGCAAATGTTAAGCTTGAATTGAATACACCCTGCTTGTTAAATCCATGTGTTCTTTAATTTCTGTATATTCTGACCCAGAACAGCAGAAAGAAAACGAGCGCAGAGCTTGGTTTGATTCATGTTGTTATAAGAGCCACAGTATGCATTAAGATTCTATAGGCTTATTGAGATCCAGCTGTTGAGGGACAATAACTGTAATTTCCAGTTTTAGCTCCTTTTAGTGACTTGACTCTCATTTTTGTGGGTGTATGGATAGATGAAGATTGACAGTTAACAAACACCCAAGAAGTTACAGACCACGTAACGAAAAACTGTTTTGGTTACAGTTTACGGTGTGAAAGCTGTTGACAAGTAAATGTCATGATGATGTTTCAGAATCCAGGTAGCTTTATTCTTGGGTGCTTCAAAAAACGTCAGACTAAAACAACTGTTCCAGATCAAGTACATTCAATGAAGTGTGCATGCTGTAATGTGAAATTGGAACAGCTTTACTTGAAAAGATTATCCCATGGTAGATTAGCATTACGAGGAATCATGTAGATCCAGCAAAGTTGATACTTTCCAGGGAATTGTGAATGCAGTATAATAACACCCCTTTTGAACTTCGATTCTCTACTCCCTGGCTGTTTACTTGAAAAGTGAAATGTTATTTACCACATTGTCATCTGCACATTCAGTTTCTGTAAACTCATAACTTGCCCCATTTCTCTTCTCAATTTCATCAGATCTGGTTCCTGATTTTTGCCTGACATCAAAAGCAACTTTATGGGATAGCACTGGCTGTTCACAATGCCAGTAGCCATACGGAAAAGAAGTTGGGAGGAGCATGTGACTCACGCTTCTGGATTACAATACAGTTATGATGATCTGGACCTGGTCTGCTGTCATGGGGTGGACAGCGAGGGGCCACGGTTGGGAGCAGGGGCTTCCAAACAAGGTAGACGGACGAGGTGTGCCTCCATGCCAGAGTGCTGCCACCAACTGTCCGCAGAAGACCATGTCCAGGCACTGGAGTTGACAGCTCCTGTTGTAAATGATAAAGCTGGATCACAACAGTTAACGCTAATGGAAAGTGATGCAAAGGTTTCTCTGGAATATCAGGAAGAGTCCGTTCATGGCCCGTATGAGTTGGTGGACGTTAATATTCACCAAAGGGCTTCTGAACCAGAGCATCTCCATATAGCAAACATTGGAAAGTCTGGAGAATTTCACTGTGACTGTGGGATGTCCAGTGAAAATATTTATTGTGCGACCGATAGCAGCAGTCACAGTGTGAAAACTATCAATGGTGAATGTGAAGTTGCCAAAGAGAGTAGCCAAAGACACGACATCTGCAATGACAATAATATCTCACGTGAAGAGCAACAATGCATCTCTATCTCTTCAAACAATGGGCCTCCACTGCCTGTATCTGCTAGTGAGCAGCCTGGCAAATGTCCAATTCATCAGGAAACAAAGGAGAGCCATACAGAGGGTAACAGCCGACCTCCTGAAATCTCTGAGGCCACATTAAACCAGTCCTCTGCTGCTGAACTGGAACCTCAAAAGGGCCTTCCAGATGTCGAGGAAGAGAAGCTTTCCACCTCTGGCCATGCCGATGTAAGTTTGACCTTACCTGTTGGTGTGCTGCCTAGTTTAGTTCATATGATGGATAGTGGGGATGTGATTTCACAGGCTTGCAAATCTATGGAACCAATTGTGACTTTAGTGGTAGAGGATTTTTGTGACAAAGGAGTTATTGAAAGCCGGAGTTCAGGGTCTACCAACACGCTGGATGAAGAAATGACGGTGAATGAAAATACTGGACTTAAACATTACTTGAGGGACATTCAACAAGGAGAGCAGGATCATCATGACTGCAGTCGGGTATTGGATCAGGCTCATGCTTGTGAAACCTCCCACCAGACATCGTTGAAACAACATCATGTTGAAATTAAAGCAATGAACGGGCCTCAGGGAGAGAAAAGTGGACAAGAAGAAGGCAGCAAGAAAGCAGCAGAATTCAGGGATGAACCAATCACTTCATCAGATATTTGTTTCCAAGGTCAGTGTTGCTCTTTGACAGTCAACAGAATAGTTTCAACTGAAAAACTGGATACTGGTGACCCCATAAAGTCCTCAGTAAGTCAACCGATGGACAACAGAGATGAAAACTCAGTGTCCAAAGAATTGGCTTGTTGTGAGAATCAAACCATAGCCCAGCAGTTGGAAAATAGCTGTTCAAAACTGGATGCTATCCCAGAAGTTAGCCACGTTGAGCCACATGACATCCTTTTACTAGACCCTCAAAAGAACATTGCCTCAGATTTCATCCAAAATCCACATGTTCAGCAATCCCATATGGATGATAAACATGCAGCTCCTGATCAGCACAGCGAAAACCTGTCGCCATGCCCTGCAGAGGTCAATGAAGAGCTCTCACCAGAGGGACTCCATGGCAACCAAGCTTCTGGTTGTTACCTCAGTGAGTCACCTGCTCTTGAGGTGGCAGATGGCCGGAGGGAACACCACAGGCCAGGAGCCACAGTCTCTACAATGGACGAGCCAGACGAGGCCGCTCACACAGATCTTTACAGTGACACACAACTTGCCAGTCCTGGTTTAGATGAAACGAATGAACCTGGAGATCAAAAAGAGGACGTTGTCAAAGTGCGTATGAGAAAGGTAAGGCTGTATTTAATATAGATTTAGAAAGAATGCAGGGGATCGTATTCGATTGTTATCTTATTTCTTTGTAGTAATTGAGATTCTGGTACATCTCTGCCTAAAAATTAAGTACAGTTTTTGAAAATAAACTGACATACGAAGCATTTATGGCCTTCAAATTATTTTTATCCCACACTCTGGCAAGCGTTTCGGAAAACAATGACTTCACTCTCACATGCTCACAGATCTGTGAGTGGGGGGATCTGTGAAATGTTTTACTCTTTCTCAACCGCTCATTGCAAAACAAGGTCCTATAAGGGCATGGAGACTATGAACACAGAGAGGACTGGAAGCTCAAGTAATCTCTGGTGTGAAAGGCTTAAACAGCTCTCCAGAAAATACTGTATGTTGTACTATTTGAACACTGTAGCTAACATGGTTGTTAGGGACAGTATATTGCCAAAAACGTAGGAATACGTTTAAAAGATTTGGGCACATTGGAAAAGCAACGGCCCGAGAATGGGCACAGTAAGTATTAACTTTTAGTAGTTGCAGTGTTGGCCTTTTTGGTACAAGAAATCCATTATTTACAATGCAAGGAGCATAAGAAAGGGATGTTGTGTAGACAAGTACCATATTGTGGAAAGTCTGATTCTTGTGATGGCTTCTAGCTGAAGACGATTACCCGCTTGTGAACAGCGACTCTTAACAGAGTTCATTGTGAAAATCGAATGCTGTTTACAACTTTCTTTCTATTTTGCATTTGGAAGCCCTACAAAAACATTTATTAAGACAATTGTTCTGACTTTTAAATTGATACTATGCATTTCTTCTGTGTAGAAAAAAAACAAGATAATCTGCACTGAAGCGTGCAGGATGCCATGTAGAAGTGGCAAGTCGGTGTGTGTTACCCTTACTCAAATATATTTCAAAGTAGTTGCTCTGTATGTATCATGAAAGATAACTTATGATGTCATGTTAGTGATAATACACACTCCCGCAACCCCCTTACAAAGTAGAATAAAATCATGTTTTTCAACCTTAAATGGTGTGTGTGGCATGAGCTATGATGCTGACTGTAACATTATGCGATCACCAACACAAGTTGGTATGATGCATTATCGGACACTCTGGTTGGGTTTGAGTTCCTGAAAAATATATTAGTTGTGTAATCCCTGATATTTTCATATATAATAAGATTTTAGCGAGCAAAGAAAACTTGGATGTCTTTTCAGTAATGACGAAAGTTGACATCATTACCTTAAGCTGCCACAGACGAGACATCACAGTCCACTGCACGGACATGGAAAACCATTTATAACCATTGGCTCTAGTTTCAATTTTAGGATGATTTTCAACCTTTTGATTAAATAACCCAAAGAGTTGGCTCCTGGTACTTATGTGGGGAAATTCGACCATTACACCGGAAAGCGCCAACGCAATTCATCCACCATATGGTGATGGCTGCCTCCTCTTCCACAGCACCACATGGTTATCGCCATGGGATGGATTTACATTCTTTATGAGGCCAGTTTACTAAGAAGATATGATTTAGTGAAATAAACGTCCCTAAGGGAGTTTGGGACATAAGATAGATATAAAGAGCAGTAAAAGCTTTTTAGTCTTTATTATTATGAAGGTCATTACTTAGCTGATGTTAATATCTGTAAGTGGACAATAGCAACAGTAACCTCGAATTATCTCTGATAAGAAATTGTACTAACAAATGATTATGTCCCTCGTAAGACATGTTGTTGCAGATTTAGTTTGTGAAATGAAACCATCTGGTTTGCATAATGGCTTCAGATGAACCTGATATTGGGCTTTGTTACTGTGTTTATTTGTTTTAGCAACAAGGCTTTATCCTGACCCAGGGCCAAACTGGCTCAACTGTCGCTTATCTGACAGCAGACTACTTGGCAACATCAGCATCTCAGTGCTCTCTTTGTCTGCTTTTTCTCTTCTTTTCTCTCCATATTTCATATATCAAACCCTCATGCTTTTGGTTACTGTTTATGAATGACAAACCTACATTAAACAGAGTGTTTGCACATAGTAGTTTGATGCATAATCTTCTATATTTAGCTCAACAGAGATAAAGACCCTCAGTTTAATGGACAGGTCTGAAAAATGGGATGCAGGCCACCGGGTGTAAGAGGGGGTTTGAAAAAGAGAGCAAGGGAAGGGGAAGGGGGGGTCTAAGAGTTCAAACAGTGTGGGAACTGTCTCCCATCTCAAAAAACAGGAAGTGAAGAGGAATGTAACAGAAACCTCAAAAGATGGGAAAGAGAAAAGAAACCTTCTGAGAACACCCAAACCGCCAGAATGCCCCCCGAAAAAAACGTTGCCTCACTGAGGCGCCTGACTTTGCACTGCACTTGTTTTTTACTCTGCTGTTTTGTGGCTGTTATTGCCATCTCGAGCCAGATGCTTTTGTTCATTCAGTGAGGCCTCGTAAAGATGTCATTGTTTTACCACGATACAATGTTTCATTGTGATACTTTGCCAAGGAGACAAAACGTAACAATGTGCGCTGCCACTAGCTAGGATTGCCAATGAATGCATCAATTTGAGACACATTTCCATGACACACATGGCCCCCGATGTCTATTTGCTCTCAGCAAACCCAATAGGAACTGCTTTTGACAGGGTAATTTGGCACTAACTGGAAATTAAATGTAAGCCCAAGTCATAGGACGTTATTAGGGATGGAGCAGGAAGCCGGGCGCAGAGCTCCAGCTGGGGCTTGGTTGTCGTGATGCAGATTCTATCTAGGATCCATAAAACTGTCAGCCTCACACACATTAGCATTAGTCACAGCTTGTATGCATGTCATCATCTGCACACACCCATTGTAAACTTAACTTAAAAAAGATTGAGCCTACATGAGCTGTGTCACAGGTTTTGTTTAGTACTTACTTTAGCCTACATTAAACAATAATATGCCTTGCTAATGTATCACGTCTTAGAACAGACAAATGCTGTCTTTTTCTGCATGTCATTCTCTCTCTCTCTTTTCCCTTTCTTGTCTCTTCATGGCTATCAATGAAGGAATCATATTAACATGTTAACATGACTCTATACCTCTGCCCCAACAATTACGGTGGCTGTGTCCCATGAGCTCACCCTTATAAAGTATTTTACAGGCCGTTTTTGCGGAGATTGTAACAAGATTTGTTTGGGACTAATGAGCCGGCTGTGTGATGTAATTGGTTCTTCTTGCTCGAGAAGCATAGACAGGGAGCCACACCCAGAGCCAGGATAAATAACAGGCAGAAGGAAAATAAAACATATAAAGTACTTTGTTAAAAACTCCAGAAAGGGAATAAACAAGTTTTTGAACTTCAGCAAAGAGTTTATATATGTAATCAAACTATTCACGATTGAGGCATAGCAAACAAAGACAGAGTGGAAGTTGGAGTGTGGAGATGGGCTGGTTGTCATGTAGCTTGTCTTACCAGAGACACACCACCTGAGGTCAGTGTGAGACTTGTGTTTGCAGCTTTAGAATGCTAATTAAAACCTCTTTCAACACAGAATACAAGACTATGGGCGGAATGTTTTAAGGCTGAAAGTCATATGTTTAAGAGATAAACACTGTATGCAAAGGATGTTGGAAAAGCAGGGGAAACAACCTGGACTATTTTAAGACGGATCTGTGTATTTGTAAAATGTTGATACATCCTGGATCAAGGTCACTTTGGAGTCTTTGATTTGTAAGGAAAGTAAAGCCAATAACTAGGGACTTTGTTAAGATTGTAATACCTTTACGCCAACTAGACTGGATCCTTTATTTTTTATGTTAAAAGCAATACTGTCAGGCACCGAAGCAGATACATCTATTACATTCATTAAAGTATAGACATGTTTTAATAAAATGTAGGGGACCTCAATAAAAAGCAGCTATCTCTGAGGTTTCTCAACAAAGTGTAGTCTAAACTGAAAATGCATATATTATCTTAATTACTGATTTATCAAAATATAAGTTCTCAGATAACGGCTACATTCAACATTCAACACAACACCCAAAGTAATACATTGTTTTTTAGAGTATGTTGAGGTATTATCCCATTTCAGTTGAAAGTAAGCCATGCCTACACTTAATACTTCAGAAGGCAGGAAAAGAAAAGTAACCTTGTGCATGGGGGCAGAGTCGCAATGCAAGGCTCTTACTTATTGATCAGGATGAATACAGATTTTTCGTGTCTCTACACGTTTATGACATACAATCACATACGATGCAATGTTCATATTTGTTTCTTGTGATTTGTCTGTTTATTCAGCGTGAGCATGCTCGTTTGGACTCAATGGTGTTGCTGCTGATGAAGCTGGACCAGTTGGACCAGGAAATTGAGAATGCCCTCTGCGCCACCTCCTCCATGGGCAGCACGCCGACCCTCCATCGCAGACAGCTGCTGGTACACACCTGCATGTTACCCTGCTGTTACTCTTTATACAATTATTTTACATTTCCTATATTTATTCAATATTTTATGTTGTCCTTTATCTAGAGTATTTTCTCCTTTATTGGCCATTTTGAGGCTTAGAAATGCCTATATACACTCTATATTAGGGATGGGAATTTGAAAGCAAATGTATATTCGAACATTCGACCCCCAAAAAAACGATTAACCGATTAACCAAAATGTACATATCCTATAAAAAAATATATATATTTTGAAAAATAAATAAATACATGTTCAAATAAGTATAGAAACCAAGTGAATTTGTCAAATGTATTGAACTGGTGATCACAGTTTGAACAGTTGACAGCTATAGGCCTACAGCTTTCATGCTTAAAACATAACTTGGTTATCTGATGGATTTGTACATAAACGCGAGTGAAGTATAACCGGACGCGAGAGAGAGAGATCAGCACCTGCAGCTCTGCCCGCTGTGAGGGACCGGTGAGCGGAGCAAAACACACCTTTAGACTGTGTAGTGTACTCTACATTTATGCTCTTGATCATCTTTGAAGCAATACTTGAATAAAAGGGATAAAACTGTTTTTTGCGATGTAATGCCTACATTGTAATATTTATCTTTCAAAGGCACAGGAGTTTGAGGCTGGATCTGTCCCAGCAGCATCACGAAGCCCGCCCCATCCATACCTTCCTGCTGCCTCCACCTCAGAATATACCCCAGCCCTTGGAGCAATACCTAAAAGTGGGGTAAGTCAGATCTCTAAGATATACCAATATACTGTATATCTAAACATTAATCATCAGGTCATGAGATGACACATTTGGAAAGATTGCAAGTCGCATATCTTAAAGGTCCTATGTCATGGCCATATCCACTGATCATAATTCCATTGTTGAGGTCTACTAGAATAGATTTATATTGTGCAATTTTCCAAAATCACTTTGGTTTCTCATACAGCATCTCTGTAAACTATGTGTATTTACTGAATTTCACTCTCTGCCTTTAACGGCTCGTTGTAGCTCCAATAGCTCCAGCCCCCACCCTCCCTGTGAGCACAGTGTGCTCTGATTGGTCGGGACGTTATGAATCGCGCTGAGCTCCGTGGAGGTGTGGTTTCCTTGTTTAGCGACAGCGAAACACAGCCAAAGTCACCCTGAGCACACACAAAGTCACAGCCGAAGTAAAAACAATAAGTGTGGCTTGATATTGAGTAAGAAAAAGGTTGATAAACGCTGTGAGAATGGGTCTGCAGAGAGAATTTCGCCGCGATCCCAAGTGTCTGTTATCAGCCTGCAGCCAGGGAGGAGAGATCAGCACAGCTGCATGCACTGAGTGGAAGTCCGTGGATTGGTCAATTTGGACCAATCAGCGGGGGCTTAACGTAACGGCTCCGCGGACGTAACGTAACGGCTCCACGGATTGGTCCATTTGGTTCCATGACATCATGCGGTACCCGGAAGAATCAATGGACAGAGACGTATCTCCAACGAGGCGTTTTGGGGAGGTATTTTCTGTGTTAAAGTTTTACTCGCTACAGGGTGTACTTTGATGGTTTTGACTCTGCAGACCGTTTACATGCATAAAAACCTTCATAACACACAAGGGGATGGGTAATAACCGGAAAAGCATGACCTGGGACCTTTAACTATGAACAGCTTGATAGACACATTAAGACATCATAACTCATCTTTGTTCTTTAATCCCTTTTTGGCTTTCTTTCCTTCCCTTTTCTTTGTATTTTGTTTGCATTATATCTTAACTGATCTAAAAAAAAACGTTTTGAAAGTTTAAATAAATCAGCAAACTTAGAGGGAGCACACACACACACACAGACTTGTAGTGAAACACCCAGTTGTAGGAATGTCCTCGGGCACTCAGGGCTTAGCCAAGCAGACGTTCAAACTCTATAATTAGCTGGTTCCAAAGATCTAGACCTCTTCGCCCCAACAAAGGGGTCAGAAAGGGGCTCTAAGGGTGAAAAGCCAGGGCAAGGGGGAGCGAGGTGGGACACGCTTCAAGTGAGACGTGCGTCTTCAAATCGCCTTCTTGATCACTTAATGACTTTGTCAGCTTCCTTTGCTATTGCCTTCAGACACAGGGCAAAGCGAACAAGGCCGGTAGCCAGTGGACTGAAACCTCAAGGAAGCTTACAATAGTTGGAACACATGTAAAAAAACAACAGTTTTCACCTGTTTTTATCTTATGATGTGGTGATGCATAATAAGATATCCCTAAACCGGGAACAGGATGTTTCAGATCCATCTAGCTAGAGCAAAACATTCCAACCTGTGGAAATATCAGTGTTCCTTGATGAAATTCTTGACTTATCTCTCGCAATTCCTTGTTGACATTGCTTTGTCTTGTTGAACGTCACAACTCTTATGCTGTCTCGAAGGAAAGCAATATTTCATGCATATGTGACGGTTACTTTTAGGGAGACAGAGCACCGTGTTCTGTGATGTGTGATGTCTGTGGTCAACTGTTACCACATCCTTTATTCCATGCAGTAACTCAGGTAACTCACTAAGCTTGGGTAAACAGTGCTTTCACTGCGCCTAATAGGAGGCTTTTTACAGTGGAGGCTCTGCGGGGTGATTGATTGAGGCCAAAGAGATGATGACTCCATGAAGGAGATTCGCAGTGGTTAATTGTTGAAGGGACTGTTGAGTCCTTTCAATCTGAAAGTGTTGGGACGCCCACCAAATCTTTTTAGCGAGACAACACAAATCCTTTAAATGATGTAAACACAAGGCGTTTTGTGGAAGAACCGGGGTTGAGGTTTTCATTCAACCAGACATCAAGGTTGTGTTGTACAAGATGATAATATAATACATTATTCAAACACAGAATAATAATTAATTCATGTATAAAATAGTACTTTGTTCTAAAAAATTAACTTTAGCAAATTTATTTTTAAAACAATTATTACATTTTAAATGTCCCACACAATCCAGTTATTAAACACACTAAATACTTAATAATTTAGTGAAAACCAAGCTTTTGCTATGAACAGAATGTAATCCAATATATTGAGTGCTACATATAAAGACAGTCTTGAAAATAGAAAAAAAAAATCACTGGCTCTGTGCTACCTACATTTCTCACAAGCATATGTTGCATTGAACGTGTCTTGACATCCATCATTACAAGAGGTATTTGCAAGTTTACACAGGACAGCAAACAACATGTATCTTTTTGGCAAGACAATGGTAAGGGCAACCTGTTTAATAGGAAACATCAACACAGAAATCGCTACCCTAGACACTTCTGTAATTTATTAGTAGAGATCCAAGAAGTAAAACTAAATGAATAGTATGTGGACCTTTTTTACAGTGTAACCAAAAACATTTAGGAGAGTGCGTGTGTGTGTTCTTACTGTCCCCAACACATCCTGGCACTCGCTGTCACTTTAGTGTGATCGTACTGAGCACACACTTGTGGTGTTCTGTCCTTTCTGTCCTACCGATAAAAAATGAAGTGGTGGTATGTGACTGTTTACGTTTTTGACGAGTGGACACTCACTAGGTAGTGTTGTGCCCTCTCTGCAGTGGAGAAGGCATTGGGTTCAAGTGAATAGATTCCTGGCTCTGGTGGCTATTGTTAGCTTTCAGCAGGTGGCTGTTATTCTTGCATCGAATGTGGGGCTAACATCTAGCGGATGTTGTGCCACAGCAGGTGTTTTTTCTCTTGGTGGAACGGCTATTCTTTGCCCCAGAGTGTTTTTGTTGGCAGGTTCTTATTACTTGCTTTTATTTTACGTGCATTGTTGTGTTGGCTTTTATTTGGTTTATAGACTCATAGTTGTCTATTGATTTGGCTTTATATCATATTTAGGGTTGAAACTAACTCTTTATTGATTCGTCTATAAAATGTGAAACAAAAGACAAAGTTGCTCAGGCTAAAGGTAAGGTTGTCAAATGTTTTGTTTTGTCCCATGTCTACTGTTTTGTGTACAGTCAATTTACAATCCCATCAAACAATGACAAATAGAAAAATAAACATATTTAAGAATCTGAAACAATACATATCTATAATGTTTTTTTGGTGTTGCCGAAAACTGTTGAGTTTTGATAAGCTCAACAGTTTCAATAAATAGTTTCAACTGTAATTATATTTTTTCACTGACAGATTCCATTCTGTGATGTAATTATTTCCCATCTTTTGTAGTGGTGGCTTTGTTATAATTGTTTAAGGATTTGTATAATTGCCCTTCATAGCAGTATTAGCCATCATTAATGTGTCTTTGAGTATAATCTTTAGCGCCTAAGGTATGCGTGGTGTCAAAACCATTTGTTATGCGACTCTATTTTTAGAGCTCCATAGCTGCAAAGGATGTGCCAAGCCACAGAGGCGGGTGGAGGCTGCTGACCCTTGACCACCTTCCTCTAAATGTTACAGTCGGAAACAACACATCAGTCACCCTCAGCGCGGAGGGTTCCCACCAGAAAGACAGACCCCGAGTCCCCTCAAAGTAACAGACCATGGCTGTCTGTCATACACTGTATGGTGTCCAGGAAGGCTCTGCCCTCATCTTCTTTGGTAAACATTCCAGGGTGTCCTTTGACCCCATTTTTGGATCTGTATTATGTCTCTATGACAACAGCGTTCCAAACACAACCTGTGTCATCTCCATAAGTTGTTTTGCCGCTGTTTGACAGTCAATTCTGAAAGTACCAGATTACCAATGTCCGGAGTTTCCATGTCTGGATTCAAGAGATATTTTTGAGAGATGATTGATTGAGAGATATTTTTATTTTATGTCAGAAATACTTTATTCCCTATCAGCTGATGATGAATGTTCGTCGCTCTTTATCTGTCTGTAGTTGGGCAGACAATAGAAGTGCTGTGGTTTGCGTGCTAAGGTCACTAAAAGATCTCTGCTCTGTCCTTCCTCTTTGTTCCGGTTTGGCAGCCTCAGAGTCCCCAAACATCCTTTATTCAAACCACACCTTCCCAATGTCCCACAGAGATAAAAGACTCAACATTTTTCTACTTTCACTGGTTTTTATTTATCATTAAATTGGCTTCCAGACTCTCTGTGTTACCCGTCCTAGGTCAATAGTCAACACCATGTGCAGCAGGCATTATCCTGTTTGCCTACATTCCACTAACTTATTTGGCTAAAAGATTGTTGAGGGCCATAATGAGTTAGTGAACTATGGAGCCAACCTCCATTCAGTCCGACATGGGCTGCCAGTAGTGGCTCTAGTCATGGCCACGCTATCCGCTTTGTGTGGTGTAATTGTCCCCAAGGTCACTCCTCTGCTGAGCACAGCTGTAACAAGGAGACAAACACAGACCTGCTGGGGTTTGAAAAAAGAGGGTATGAAAAAAGAAAAGGCTTGTGTTTGGGACAGGATGTGCAAAATTAACTTCTCATCAACCCCCACAAGGAAGTCTTGTTTTTCGTGTAGATTCAAGGCTATAGCCATTCCATAAAACTATCAAGGAACAGTATAAAAAAGGGAATACAGAATACATATATATATATTTTTATTATAGTTGGCAAAGTCTCATAAAAGAACAAAGTTAAACACAAAGCCAAAACATGGCATCATGAAAAGTGTGTGTACATGTTTCAGCCTGCATCAGTGTGCATACTGCATCATTTCTCAAATTGATTTGAAATATGCTTAATTGTTTGACAAAGTTCAAGCATCTTCTGTGGAAGTCAAACTTCAAATACATTTTTTGACACCACTGTACTCAATAGCAACTCTTTCTGTTTGTTTTTATGACAACATAC